AAAATCAAGCCACTCTTGAAGAACAACAAACCACTCTTGCACACCAGCAAAGACAACTTGACAAAGTGCATATGTCCATCACTTATCTTAATGAAGATTTTGAAGCATTTCGCAAAGGAAATAGACCTCCTTCTCCTTAGCACAGTATCACCCCCGTCTAAAACCTATTTTTGTGGTCTCATTTGCTATATTTGCTTTAGAGAATCATATTTTTCGATATGTTCTATTTACTTATGTTATTTCATTTTGAACTCCTTATCATGAACTCTGCTTTTATCTACTCATATGGTAGTTGTCTTCTAATTCTCCTTCTGTTTTCTATACACTGCCATCTTTGCTATTTAATTGCTCTTTTCTTTATCCATTTTGATATTTCATGCAAAGGTCAGTATTTCCCATTGATAAAGGAAGATTTTTTTTTGATATGACAAAGGGGGAGAAAGATGTGTTCTATGCTATATTGTGGCTATATTGTGTCTATTCTATTACATTGCTATTTTTGATAGACGCACATTGATAGGGGGAGACATATTTTTCTTCAAATATTTGTTGTTGACATGAATTCAAGATATGCTTATTGATAGGGGGAGCATTATTTCAAAATGCAACTCCACTTTGACAATAAACACATCAATGTTTTGTCATCATCAAAAAGCGGGAGATTGTTGGCCTAAGGATTTAATCTAAAGGTCAATCTTATATTTTGATGATTACAAACCATTAATGATGTTTATGTACTAATATTTTCCTTGAGTGCTATATAGTTGATCAATTAATTCAATCCTCAATATTGAGCCAGAAGCATTCCAAGTACTCAAGCAATGGATTCAAGGAAGCATTGAAGTTGCAAGAAAAGATTATTCAAGTACTCCATCAAAGGCTAACCGATCATGGTCAAAGATTGAAGAAAATGGTAGATTAGATGGTGAGAGCTTAAGATTTAATGTCAAAGTTAATTTGAATATATTTGAAGCTCAAAATTCAATCCATGCATTGCATTCCCATTTTATTTCTCAAAGAAAATAAAATCAGCTCATGATCACATTCACAGGACTTAAAGAATTTCATATTAAGTATCATAATGTGAGATGGAGAAGGCTCCATAAAACAAAGAGAAGGCTCTTTTCTCTTATTCAGTGAGCTCTGAGAAGATTCTTTTCTTTAACTCCAGTAAGTCTTTGAGAAGTATTTAAGAAAAAGAGAGGGCTCAATCAAAAGAAAGAGAGGGCTCTTTTTGTTCCAAGAAAGCTACGAAAATGGATCTTCAAAATAAAGAGCAGGCTCACGTTTTTATTGAGCAGGCTCTTTCCAAGGAAAATGAACAAAGAGCAGGCTCTTTGGTTTTCAAGAAACGGCTCTCTTTAGGGTTTTGAACTGTAACGTAAACATTTTCATTAAATGTTCTCAACAACCTCTAACAGCTATATTGAACTCTGTTTATTCTATAAATACTGAGGTTGGTCTTCAAACTAAATGATCTTTTTTAACAGAGAACATTCTATCATTCCTTGAAAAGCATTAAAGAAGTTTTCTGAGCTTTCATTCCCTCTCTGTTATTTCATATCACTGTAATAATTCTGAGCTGCACGTATATTCATCTTTTCAATAGTTGTGAGCTAAACTCTGTAATCTATCTTTGAGAGATTCTTGTACACTTGTTTCTTCAAATTTCAAAGCTATTGTAAAGGGTTGGTGTAACCCAAAAGAAAGCCTAGGAGAAGGGTGTTCTCCTAGCAAAGAAGAGAAGCAAGATCTTGTTTTAAAAGTGAAGGTTTGCTCTCCACCATTAAGGAGAAGCTCTAGTGAATTTGGGAAGTCTCAAGGGGGATCTTGAGCCGAGGAGTAGGAGTTTCCGAACCTCGCTAAATCACCGAGTCATTGTTTGCAATCTCTTATCTCTATCTCTCTTATTTTTGTGCTTTATTTTGCTTGAATATTTCAATAAACTGATATTCAACAGCTTGGTAGAAATATAATTTTTAAATTGAAAAAATTGCTCCTTGACTCTATTCACCCCCCATCTAGAGTCAATTAGTGACTAACAGACTCATTTGAGAATGATAAATTGCTTTGAAATGTCCAAAAATCAGAGTTGGAACTCTATTTAGATGAACCAAAAATCAATAAGAATACGAACTTTGATGTGCTTACCTATTGGAAAGCCAATCAGTTTAGGTATTTAGTGCTTGCTCAAATGGCTCGTGATATATTGAGCATTCCAATCACAACAGTTGCTTCTGAGTCTGCGTTTAGTGTTGGTGATCAGGCTCTTGATCAATATCGTAGTGTACTTAAACCAGAAAATGTGGAGGTTTTGGTATGCACGAGGGATTGGCTTTTTAGTTTGAAAGGTAAATGACTTATAATAAATTTCAAACTATATTTTTATTATTGCAGAAAATAGTGAAGTAATAAATTTTTTGTGTATGTTTTACTATAGATACAATAAAGCTTCAAATGGATGACTTGATTGATAATGTGATAAAACTTAATATCAATAATGATGACCCTGCTGAAGGCCAATGTTCCTCCAATGTTAGCGTGACCGAACATTAAAATCCAACTAGGTAAAAAAGTCATCTGCATTTGTTTTATTTTTCACATAATTTGTTGCCTGCATTCTTTTATATATATATGTATATATATATATATTTTTAATCTAAACTTATTTTACACTTACCTATTTTGTAAGAATTTCTACTTTTTGGTGTTTCAGAAAAGAGTGCATGCAAATTCCAGAAGGAAGTTTTTGAGTTGTGGATCTTTGGTTTTTAAGAAGATTGCATGTTACCCTAACATTTTTATTAAATATTTTTATTTCGGTCTGTAATAACTTATGACTTATCTTTATTTCGGTCTGTAACTTATGACTTGTGACTTAATCTTTATCTTTGGCTTTTAATCTCTCTTTTGGACTACATCACTGCAGTACAAATTTTCTAGTAATGTTTGCTAGTATTTTAATCTTTGGCCACTTTAAACAGGTTAAGTGGGTAAACACCATAAATAGGTTAAACGGGTAAACATGTTAAACGGGTTACACGTGTCGTGTCGTGTTACCCGTTTAATAAACATGTCGTGTTCGGGTTTAGGATATGTGACATAATTATTAATCGTGTCGTGTTCAGGTTGACTTGTTTAGTGTTATATCCCTAATTCGACACGTCATGATTATGACACGCGAACCCAAATTGCCACCCCTACAGGTTTTGTCCTAATGGATTTTCCTGGCAAAGTTTTATTGAGGCAGTTCAAAATCATGCAATAATTTTTCAAACACACAAGAATATTGTACTCTTCTTCCTTCGCTCAGGTTTTGTCCTAGTGGATTTTCCTGACAAGTTTTTAATGAGGCATATTCTTAATATAATATTATGGACCCCAAGGGGGAGTTTTATAGTCATGGGGCTCACAAGTATGCAAATGAATTGTGGGCTACAATTTGTAGAAGTAATAATTACAACAAAGTGACACAAGTATATTACTTAATCTATATGCAAGTGGTAATGCTATTTGTAGGCTAGCATGCATTACAAATAAACTTTTATCATTTATAGTATGGGATTAGGGATGGCAATGGGGCGGGGATCGCATTCCCCATCCCCATCCCCATCCCCATCCCCATCACAGCTGAATTTTTCAATCCTCATTCCCGCCCCTATCCCTGCTTAAAATTTCATCACCACCCCCATACCCGCCCCCGACCTCTTATCCCCATCTCCGGCCCCGGCCCAGATTAACATATATTATTTATAAAAAAAAACATAATTTTTCTTGTTTTCATATATATAATAAATCTAATTTAGTAATAAATTGTTAAATGTAAGGGTATATTAGTAATTCAATACTTAAACGGGGCGGGGCGGATTTACCCCATCCCTGGCCGCGGCGGGTTTTCAAAATTTACCCTCATTTTCATCCCCATTACATAAAAGGGTTCCCATTCCCATTATAAACGGGACGGGACTGGCGGGGATGGGAAATTTGCCATTCCTATATAGAATCAATCTTTCCCATTCGTGCAAGTTGGCAAAAGATGCTCTTTCTCATCCTATAAATATGAATCATATTGTATCACTGACTTCATACTTTGAACGAGATCTCACAAATGTCTTTCTTTGTTTCTTTGATTGTGTATGAATATATTTATTCTTATATTTATAACAATTTTACTTGTGTTACGATGTGATATAGGATTTGATTTCCCAAATCAAGTCAAATGCCTGTTATGGCTCATTGGAACTAACACTTGATCATTGTGAAAAATTGGTATGGTTAGTTAAAATATTGTGTGACGGAGGTATGAGAGAGAAGGGTGGCAAATTCAGCTAAAAAAAAAAAACTCTTTAAATATTAAAAATTTAAATAACATGAAAAATGAAAATTTCGTGTGAAAGCAACTTTTCTTAATACCTAACTTTCATGTAAAATTTCATTACAAAAACACAAGAAAAAAATTTAATTTTAGAAAATACAATTATACCTACTTTTACCTCACAAATAAAACATGTTTATGAATAACTTTTGATAAGAATGGTATAAATATCTTTATGTCCTGCAACTTTTTTTTTTTTAATTTAAATTCTTATATTATTATTTGTTTTTCAAAATACCTAAAATATTTGTTTAATATAAATTAATTTAGACCGAATGTCCTATTTAATAAAAATAAAGACAATTAAGTGAACCGTTATATTTTCTATTCACTTTAATATTATCCAAATAATAAAGTAATACTTGTTCACAACTTTCATAAAAAAAAAAAATTTAGAAACAAATAAATGAATCCTCAAAAATTTATTCACCTTTCATTCGCTTCACTTTTTAACGCATTCCACTTTCTAATATCGATTTCCAAAAGGACTATGGTAAATACAGGCCAACTATTTTGAGTGGGGAAAACACGGATGGTCAAGCTAAACCCTGGTCAAAAATGGGTCAGAATACGAGCATCCATATTCAACCCGCATCCGGCCCGAGAGCCAGAAGTTTAACGACTCTAACACCACCTGCACCTCGGCTCCATGATTTCCCCTCCTCTCACTCTGTCGCAGATTTCCCATCGCCATTCTTCTCCAAATATTGTATCGAGCGAATTGTGAAGATCGTACGTGTGAAGAATCGGCTTAGGGTTTGAATCGCTGAAGAGAAAACCCATTCGAAGTGTAGATCAGGTTCTCTTCTTTTTGCTCATCCATGATGTATATATCGAGATTTGTAAGACTTTGTAGTTGTTTTGATGAACTGGGTTACTATGGGTTTCTTTAGTTGTTACAGGTTATATATATACGTTGATCTTAAAACGTGTTTCTTGATTTCTGACTTCATTTGGTTAACTGGGTACCATGGTTTATTTTTGATAACCCATCACTCCAAGATTTGTTCCAACTCTATAATTTGTTCAAGAACAGATTAATAATGTACTGATAGAATTGATGAAGAAAACCTACAATATCACACTGTTTAAATTTGCCTAACGTATGCCTGAATCCAGTGAAATTCGGATCCGAATTGAATACCAACTTTAAATTGGCAAATTTTTTTTAAAGGATATGTTTGACCATCAATTTGGAACATCCAGTCAAATTCCAATACATTTATGTATGTGTGTCATTTAAAACACTAAGATGGAAAAATGATTTATTTTGATATTATTTTTAACCATATAGAAGATGTACTTGTCTTTGAACTGAGAATACTTTAAGTTTACGAATCTTTAATTTAATGAGAATTCATGGTGTACAAGATGGTGTTAATTTTCTTTTTCTTCTGCAATGGCTATTTTTCTGCTACAGGGGATGCATTATGAAGTATTGGAGTGTGGATTGACATAATTGAGATGTTAATTGCAACACAATGTAGGTGTAAAAATGAGCAAAATTAGATGCATTTATAGATATCAGTGAGATGTCATTTACCCACAAAGGGAGAAAAAAAGAAAGTTAAATCTACCTAATGGTACAACTATGTGATGGATATATGAAAGGTGACTACATATATTCTTGTCAACCAAATTGAGTATTGGTGATCGTCAAGTGATGTTTGTTTAAGTTTGAGCCGAATGATGAGTATGTGTATGTCCCTTATTATTTTCCAACTGTGGATGTATATTATTTTGTTTCTGATTTTTTTTTTGCTCCCTCATGGATAAGATGAAAGAGAGTAGAGATAGAACTAGGAGTGATGGATTTTCAAGATCTTCAGCTGCTAACTCTGTTCCACTTGAGCTAGACGTAGATGACTTTAAGGTAAGGGCTCAAACTTCGTCAATTTCATGTTTGTTTGTGTTAAGTGTCTCTGTAAGTAGATAAGTAGTGGTACTATGCTCCACTGGTATATACGAAAACTTTTGGCATTTGAATGAACATTGAGTCTATTTATTTATGTTATTTTTGAATTTTTTTAATGTAGGGGGACTTTTCATTTGATGCCTTATTTGGAAACTTAGTAAATGAGCTGCTCCCTTCGTATCAAGAAGAAGAAACAGATTCATTAGAAGGGCATAGTAACGTTGGTGATGATTTGCCAAATGGGAATATGCGAATTCCCTCTGATGCGGGAAAATCAGCACAAGGGCCGTCAAGCCCTTTATTTCCAGAAGTAGATGCTCTATTGTATTTGTTTAAGGATTCTTATACAAAGTTAGTTGATCTTCGAAAACAGGTATTTATTTGGGACTGTGATAAATTCTGCAAACTCAATAAGACTATCTGTTGGGGTGTTTTCTAAAAAAATATTTAATATATTATGTTTTGTTAAAGATTGATGGAAAACTTTACAATCTCAAGAAGGACGTTGTTGTCCAAGATTCTAAGCACCGCAAGACACTTGCTGAGGTTAGTTCTTAGAGTGCATTTATGGATTACTCCATTGTTTTTGAAAGTTACCAGATAAACCTAAAAATTTATATAAAGGAATGAGGTTTCTACAAGCAACCTGAAGTCGGCACCAGTTTCTTTATTTTTAAAATTTTTGAAATGCCTTTTCAGAATTAACTTTTCACACCAATTGCTGTACATCTCTTTATAGTTTCTGATAATCCTCATTTAACACTAATTGCTGTAAATCTCTTAATATAAATCATGGAAGTACGTTGTGCTATGAACGGTTTCATGAACCTGAATTTAATGCGTACTTATTATTAAGATACACTTTCACTTACCTTTCATGTTTATCTCACTCAATGTTCAGCTGGAAAAAGGTGTAGATGGCTTGTTTGATAGCTTTGCACGGTTGGATTCGCGTATTACTAGTGTTGGACAGACTGCTGCCAAAATTGGAGATCATCTGCAGGTAAAGTTTGTGTAATGATTGATTAATTAATGCTTCAGATACCATATGCACTTAAGTTAATCTAATTGTTATTTTGCTATAATTTTTGGGCTATATGTGATCCTTGCTTTAATTTATTTGAGCATTTTTTTTTCCAGAGTGCAGATGCTCAGCGTGAAACTGCAAGCCAGACGATGGATCTCATAAAGGTATTATTAATGACTGCACATACTGATTGAAGTCATTTGCTTATGATTCTCTAACACTGTTTGGTTGATTTATTTCTTCAGTATTTGATGGAGTTTAATAGCAGCCCGGGCGACCTAATGGAACTTTCACCTTTATTTTCTGATGATAGTCGTGTTGCTGACGCTGCTTCAATTGCACAGAAATTGCGTAAGATGGCATTATTTTCCTGCAAAGCTTCATAATTATGCATTCTTATTTCTTACAAACTTCCTTACTGCCTTTCATAACCAGAATGATGTTCATTATTAACTTGTCACTCATTATACCAAGCTGTTTTTTCTTTCTCCCCCTCTCTGACTACTTGAAAGCTGAATTAGTGGGCGAGAAGATATATACCAAAAGCCATGGTTATTGTATGATTTCACTGTCACTTATCAGGATAATCTTTCTTCAAATCTAAGTCCCTGTTATTTGTTTGTGCTAATGTATGTGAATCCAATAGTCCTGTTTTATTGAGTCCATGTACATATCTTCATTCTTTCTACATCATTCTAATGGCCATTGTTTTTTTTTTTTTTGATAAGTATTTTTAATGGCCATTGTTACTGTAGGTAAATATCATTAAACGAGTCCTTTTTGCCCTCTCATTCCAAATCCAAAGTGTTTATAATTTTACCTTGCTGAATCGATGATCGATTACTGTTTTCAAAATTTTAGTTGACTAATCTAAACATTTATTTATACTAATAATCTTGCTGGATGTACCATTGCTTTTGCGTGCTGACAACTTCGCTTCATTATGTGTGGTTTCTCATTTGCTGTAATTTTGTTGCTTTTCCTTTTCTTTTTTTCCCCTTCTTCTTTCTTGTTTCTATTTGTTTACTTTCTGTTTCAATGGAGTATACTTTTTGAAATGGGGAACTCAAGCATGGGAGAGAGAGATTTTCAACCTCTCTTCTGGGCTGCAAGTAGGTATGATGGCAACGGGGCGAGTTCGGGACTGGTTTGGCTAAACCCTACTCCGCCCATTGAAAATTCTTCCATACCATCCCCGTCCCAACCCTGGGGCGAGTTTGTACTCCTAGTCCCATCCCCATCCAGACCCTATAGACATATATAGATATATTGATTTATACACGCAAGAAGATATGATTCACATGAAAAATAATCCTAGATACATACATTCACAATTATATATAAGTAGAGAGAGAAAACCTAGAGCCGCACAGGAATGGCAAGTACGAACTGGATTAGCAAGCTGATTTGAATTTGGGATGAGAAGAAGTAATCGGGATAGATGACCAAGTTGCGTGGAAGAGATGACTGTAGAAAATGGAAAGAACACCTTCAAGAGCAATTGGAAAATAGCGTGGCTGGTATAGTCGGTGGTCGGAATCTCTGTTCTGATGGAGCGTCCTGGACTACCGATCGTTGTTCTGATCGGTGGCCGGCATTGTTGATCAGTACAATAGCAAGCGTCCTGGACACTGCGTCCATGGCTTAGTGGACTGCGTGTGAGGGCAGAGTGGGCTGCGACTACCAAACCCTAAGAGGAGAGTAGATATATGTGTGTATAAGGGTGTTTAAGTAGTATTAAGTTAATGTAAGGGTGTGGGTGTAAATATGCTATATAATCAGGGCGGCGCTGGGAAACTACATATCCATCCCCTCCCCTCCCTGATTCAGGTTAAAGCTTCTAATCCCTTACCTGCCCCTAAAACTTTTAAAGATTTACTATCCCCGTCCCATTCTCTGTGGGGGGGGGGGGGAGAGATCAGAAACTAGCCATTTGCTTGGGGTGGCTAAATTAAGTTTTTCTCCATTCTTCTTGAGCTAAAAAAATTCCAGTTAAAAAAGAATAATTGTTGCCTTTTTTATTGATAAAACAAATATAATATAATTGAAGAGGTGAACACAAATTTACACCTACATGCACTTCCTTTTATATTAACCAAATTTATTGGATGTCAGCTCCTTCAGTATATGGGTATGTTGTAGAAACAAACTTTTTTTTTTGTTGTTCTGATACAATCAACACTTACTGACAGAAATGCATTTACACGTTCCTGGTAGATGGCTGTCCTCTTTCTTCTTCTTCTTCTTCTTCCTGCTACTACTCTTCCCACACCCCTTTTTAATATATTGCATTCATGCTTTTTCAAATTTCATTCTTTATCTTCCTCATTTAGCACACTACATCCTTGGTTTCTCTGATTTTGTACTCCATCATCATAAATTTATTGAGATGAGTGCATTACAGTTTGAAGGAAGTCATGGCATTTGCTCCATCTTTCTTTCAAACGGTAATGCACTAATATGGCAATGTTGGATGAGTTGCACATACTTATTTTAATATATAAATTTGTTTATAGATATGTAGTTTGAATCCTTGAACTATTCACTTTATTTTCATCTCCATAATTTTTACATTCTAATGTTTTGTTGCAGAGCTTTGTGAACAAGTATAACTTTTTATGCTGCTACTGTTGATTTAGGGTCTTTCGCTGAAGAAGATGTTGGAAGACAAGGGATATCTGCACCGTCAGTTGTGGGAAATGCAACTGCAAGTAGAGGCTTGGATGTTGCTCTTGCTAACCTTCAGGAATACTGCAACGGTTTGTTATTATTAGTTATTTTCATTTATTTATATTAATTGGAGCAAGGAGAAAATTTTTGGAGCATCTAGATGTAGCATTGAAAGCAAAATTTATCTGTTGTATTTTACATATATTTCAAACATAGCGTATGGAAGATACAATTTCATTTTTGTTGGCACTAATCCTAACTTTCCATCTATTTGAACCGTTGCATCTTGGCTGAAGGGTCTCATTATTATTTATATTTAATTGGGACAGATATTACTTCTTTCCCCTCCTAGTCAGAAGGATTGGGGGGCCATGGCAGTTGACTTGCTAGCTATCCCAAGTATATTTTGTGAAAAGTGATCATTAAGAAGATTTTTCCATTTTTATCAGTTGGTGATTAAATGCCTCCAGTGGGCTGTATATATACCTACCGGAAAAAAGATGTAGAGATGTGACCATCTTATTTGACCGTCAACTCTCTATGATTTTTAGGCACAGCTTTCATTTGGTTCTCAATTTTGTGTATTCAACTGCATTTTAAGGCACAACTTTCTATGACTTTTTGAATATATTTTTTGGGACTTCAAAAGTCCGTTTCTCTCTCCTTTATTGATCTTTCATTGTTCTCCCTCTACTATACAGTTAATCAAGAATGTGGTAAATTTTAATCTCAAATATAAGGGACTTTAAGCTGAACTCGCACCTTGTATTGGCCAAAAGAGGAACAATAGTATAATGAACAAAGATTTGTTATATGTGCAGAACGATTTCCCCCCCTATTCTTGTAAAATCATCTGTGCAAACATTTAGGATTTGGAAGGGTAGCCTCCTTAAGTCCCTTGTTTTTTAATGATATTTATTGTAAGTTGACATATTGTTGAGCTTTTTTGCCTTTTATCATTTGTGTAGAATTGGAGAATAGATTGTTGGCTCGATTTGATGCAGCCTCACAGAGGAGAGAATTGTCTATTATGGCAGAGTGCGCTAAAATTTTATCTCAGGTAATTTATGTGAACTTCATATTACCCTTTGGTTAATTACATTTACTATGGTTGTATTTGTAAATGTTGTGCAAATTTAATGCTAGGGAACCAAAAAGTATGTTAAAAAAGGAAAAATATACCGGGCCTTGATTGTTGATGTATTTAATGTTGTCAACTTTGAGTCACATATATTGGCATATGTATCATGTCATGTGCTGAGTGCCTGAGAAATATAAAGTATCACATTTTTTTATTTTTTTATTTTTTAAATCTTATTATTTGGATCACTTGAAATTATTTGATTTGTGGAAATTTAAGAGGTAACTTCTTTTATACGTGCAATGTTCTTTTCCAGGAAACAAGCTATTTTTGACTAAGTTAATGTTTTGGGGCTGTATTTGGAATGGTTGTAACTTTTTTTAGGTATGTACCCTGAAGGGAATCGGTAATTTAGTAGACTCCTAATGGATTCAAAATTCTATAAAAATCTCTGATAGTGCATTAATATGTTTTTCATTTCACTTGAAAAACTACCCTCAAACTACCCCCAGGATAATTTGAGGAGGAGAAATCAGGTGGTGGTCAATTGTTGTTACTTGTGTCTTCGTGATGAGGAGACAGTGGATCACCTTCTTTTACATTGCAACATGGCCAGGGACTGTTGGCATTTGATGCTTGGTTTGTTTGGGATTCTTTGGGTTATGCCTAGATCCCTCTAGAGGGTTGATTGAGGCTTGGAGAGGTTGTACAGTGGGGGCTCATATTCAGGATGCTTGGAGGGCTACGCCTCTATGTGTGTGGTGGTGTATTTGGCTTAAGAGGAATAGGAGATATTTCGAAGGAAAGGAGATGCCTATTACTATGCTTAAGTTCTCTATTATTTCCACCCTTTTTTGTTGGGTTTCAGGGAGAGATTATATATATGTAGAGGAGATTGTTGTTTTTTTGGCCTCTTTGAAGGCTTAGAGGCTCTTTTTGCCCTTGTGTGTTTCTCTTGGGATTCGCTCCCCTTTTGAGCACTTTTTATTCAATTTTACTTATCAAAAAAAAAAAAAAAAAAAAAAAAAAAAAAACCTACCCTCAAACTATATTATCTTACACTTTGTCATAAACTACAGAAAAACCCATATGTGAAACCAAAAATTTTTGGAGAAGGAAAAGAAACCCTAAACTTGAAGTTTAAAAAACTAAAGAATTCAAAGCCTAAATATAGAACCCTTTAAACCCCTAGCTCTAAAATTTGAACGCAACCCTAAATTTATTAAAACCCTAAATACACCATAACTGTTGAGGCCTTAAAACTCTTTTAAGCATTTAAACCACAAAGATCCCCAAATTTAAGAAAGCTAAATCTCGAGCTTGTAAAAGACTAAAAGTTAATGTGAATTAATGCATTTGTACAGGGTTAATTTGTGCACTTGTTTCTTTGGTTGATGTATTAACAAGTCAGTCAGTGAAACAAAGAGCTTACGTGGGAGTTGACTTGTGCCAGCCAGGGGCTTGGCAAGTGCCTGGAAAAGAAACTATGAACATGCATTTCTCAGATGCACACATTGGCTGATGGGATTAGTAGCTCTTAGTTGACACTTGTTGGTATTAATGTCCAGATCTATATCTACGTCGTCGTTGAGAAGATGATTTTGTTCTGAAATCAATGTGATCAAATGCTTCTGGAATTTTTTTTTTTTTACCGAGTTTGCCTGCTACTATTTTACAAGTTTTTAACCATCCACTCTAATATAGTAGTACTACGTAGTCTATAATTCTTTATTCATTGTAACTTTTCACCAGGTAAAGTTTTTAGATGGGACTTGCTTGTTGATGAGATCCAGTCTGCTCATTTTGGTTAGAAACAGCTATAAAAGATGATACATGGCTGAGTTCGTGTTTCATTGACAATTGAGTCATTTGTGTTTGACTTGAAGAAAAAAGTTCAATCTATGCACATTTATTGTTATTTTCTTCTTAAGTGATGGATGTGACAGAAATGAGAATTTTGAGATGGATGTGTGACAAGACAAAAATGGAGCTTGATGAACACATATATGCATAACTAATATGGATATTTTTAGGAAAGTGCTATTTGCGCTCCAGATTTATGCTCAAGGCATTTCACCTTAGAATTTCTTACATTTAAATGATAAAATTGGCCTTGTTCAAGACCGCTTCTGCTACATATTGGCTCAGAGTTAGATGAATGGAGTCTCCAACTATGTCTTTTGCATCTATTCAATGGTAGTTTGTATCTTTGGCCGTGGAATTTCCATTTTTTTTTTCTTTTTTTTTTTTTTTTTTTTCTTGTGAATGAGGGGATTCCCTACATCTTTTGTATTACTTCTCTGCAATTTTCTTCGGATAGGATCAAGCGTTTTTGATACATCTATCATTATAAGCGGATCATTTCGAGTTATACCCCATCTAGTTTAAGGATGAAACTGGTTCGACGATAAAGAAATCTTGGTAATTTGTACACCTTCTTACCTTCTTGTTTTTTTCCTTTTACAATGCAGTTTAATAGGGGAACAAGTGCTATGCAACATTATGTGGCAACACGTCCAATGTTTATTGACGTGGAGGTCATGAATGCAGACACTAGATTGGTTCTTGGTGACCAGGGTACATTACCTAGTCCTAGCAATGTTGCACGTGGGCTTTCTTCATTGTACAAAGAAATCACAGGTTTGAAGGCTTGCAATTTATCTCAATGAAAGGGTGTTAGGACTCAATGAATTTGATGTACTTGTAATGATTGACCTACAGACACTGTTCGTAAAGAAGCAGCCACAATAATGGCTGTATTCCCTTCTGCAAATGATGTTATGTCAATTTTGGTTCAGGTATCTGATCTTCAACTCACTTATTCTCTTTTCTGTTCCGTATGTGTTTAGTGGCAATGCATCAAATGAAGTATAGATACTAGGATCATATTGGTTGGTAATGTTACAATAATGACGAGTTTCCTCCTGTGGTTTTCGTGCAGCGAGTTTTGGAGCAACGAGTTACTACACTTCTTGACAAACTGTTGCAGAAACCATCTCTTGTTAATCCACCTCCTATGGAAGAAGGCGGACTTCTGTTAGTGAGTTGATTACTGAGGCTGCAATTGTTCTTTAATACCTACATCAATTATGTTAAAGTTGGATTTTGACCCCAGTTGTGTTTTCCTGATGTTTCAGTATCTTAGAGTGCTAGCAGTGGCATATGATAAAACGCAGGAACTTGCTAGAGACCTACGTGCTGTGGGGTGTGGTGACTTGGAGGTTGAAGGTAACAGTTAAGAAAACATTGCTAGCTTCTTTTTAGATCAAATACCTGAACTCCCTGCCTGTGAGTTGGTTCTACATTGCCATGGTTACACTTGATTAAATGGTACATAAGTTATGTTTATATTAGGCAGCTTTGTTGATTCAATATGGCCGTGATCTGTTCTCTAAGTTTATTTGAGGAGAAGGATAGCGAAAGAGCTATACAGTACATTAAAAAGGCTTCAATATTCATGATGTTGGTGAAGGAAACATGAAAGTTGCTTTTCTGGGCATGGTTAGATTGCACCTTGTGTAAAGAAGCTTGGCTGGGTTTAAATTATATAAAAAATTAAAAATTAAAAAATACCACAAAGTTTTCCAGCCCTAAAAGAAGGATTGAGACCATTTGCATGCAATACTGTAACTGGGATTAACCTTGTCGATTTGTTCCAAATGCTGTAAAGGTAATTTTGGCTGCTTTTTGATTGTTAGATTTGCTCCAATAATTGAACTGTTCAATCATAGAGTTCTGTGTTTGCTTTTTTGTTTCTGTTTCTGTAAAATACTTTTCTTTTCGCTAGGAACGTAAAATAATTAGCTAGCAGGATAGAAAAGGCAAAATGCATGGTTTATGGTCATATTTTATGAACGAAGTCCAATTTTTGTTTTCTCATTTTGCCAATTTTAGTAGTGAAGGTTGCACTTTCCAACTTGTTAAATAATAAATATTCATTCAGTTTCGATTTGTTGTAGAGAGTTTATTTATAACAAGTTAATGAAGAACAGTCTTGATATTTTCAAATGAAAGCTAACATAACTGAATTTTTCTTTAAATTTCTTATTGGTTGAATTACACTGTACTGAAATTTATTTCACGTAGTTCTTTCACTTTTGTCCTGAAATCAGCTTTCTTTTTTGATACAGGCCTAACAGAGTCTTTGTTTCTTGCTCACAAAGATCAATATATTGAGCATGAGCAGGCCTCTCTGAGACAACTCTATAAAGCAAAGGTTTAACTCTCTCTCTCTCTCCCCCCCTCCCCCTTCTTTCTTTGGCTGTTGTTGACTTCGTCTTGGTGTTGTCATTTCCCTACAACCAACTTTAACATGCAGATGGGGGAACTGCGTGCTGAAAACCAGCAATCATCCGAGTCAACTGGGTCAATTGGACGCTCAAGGGGAGCTTCGTTAGCATCTTCCCATCAACAGATATCTGTTACTGTGGTGACAGAATTTGTGCGGTGGAATGAAGAAGCAATTACCAGATGCACTTTGTTGTCATCTCAGGTAAATTTTGTCTAGGCATTTGATGTTTCTTTTACTTCTGAAAGTTCTAACGTGTTTACACAATTGGTGCCAACAAGTGAATTCAAAATGCCTAGTTAAGCATTTCTGCCATCCTGAAAAGTTGAGAGACTTTACCATGTACCTTGAAGTTCACTTTGTGATAATTCACTACGACATTTGAGCCTCTTGTAAATTATAGCATTTTTTTCCCCAAAAGGTTGTGTGTTATAAAGATCAAGTTACCATGCATATATTAAGTTATATATCCATCATGGAAATGTCATAATTTTGAGATGTATGTGTATCTGAATCCTTAACAAATGTATTGCATTTTTTATTTGGTATCTGATTCTCTTTGATTTTTTTGGTATGGAATTCCTTGGCAATACAATGTATTACGAGAATGACGTATCGTATCTATTTTCTTTCTTTGAACCAAGGTGCACCAGTTTCACAATGTATTAGCCAACAGGTTTTGTTCCTGTCCATGGAGAGACCAGAATAGAGTTTCTTTCTTCTTGTTATTCTATTCTTGTGCATCCCTCTTTCTGCCTCTGTATTCTCTTCGGCTGTAAGCCTTGCTCTTGTGTCTTCAGCTTTCCGGAAGGCAAGGACCATATATAAATTCTTAAAAGAAGATCTATTACCATTTACCAGTGGCGCTCCCACTTACATGTTGTGTTAGAAGATACAGACGAAAGACAGGTTGAACCATTTTGAGTCAGGTGGACGGTGGAGGTTCGCTTTAATTGCTGATGATTTATCTTCGTCACTATGTAGCACAGATTTGTACAGACATGCTGAAATTACTCTCAGACCTCTTGAGGTTACTCGAAATTACTTAGATTGAAGTTCTGAAAAGAATTGTGGTCAACCTCCCTTGAGGTGTTACAAAATCACCGCAACCACCACTGTCATCAACTTTTAGGTCAATCGAAAGAGTAGATAATATGAAGTGAAATGACGTCAATGACTCTATTAACTTTATAAATTGACTGTTTTAACCAATTTTCCTTAGATATATAAAATTATTATGTAATATCCAAATCATAAGATTTCATTTTCTTTCTCTTCCCCCAACGGCCCTTCTCCCACTACACCCTCCACACCACCAGTCACCACCCATTGTTAGGCCTTTACCTCTCTCTCTCTACCCGCTAGGACAAAAAAAAAAAACACAGAAGGACTACCTCCGGTTTGAATTTTCCTTAAATACTATGAAGTGAAATGACAAAAATGACTATTAACTTTATAAATTGACTATTTTACCAATTTTCCTAAGATATAAAAAATTATTATGTAATATCCAAATTATAAGATTTCATTTTCTTTCTCTTCCCCTAACGGCCCTTCTCCCATTGCACCCTCCACACCACCAGTCACCACCCATTGTTAGGCCTTTACCTCCGGTTTGAATGACCCGGCTGATGATGGCTAGAACAACGTTACCTCCGGTTTGAATGACCTGGCTGATGATGGCTAGAACAACGTTTGGAGGGTACTGTGGGTTTTTTGGAAGATATATTAATGGAGGAATTGCCCATTAATTTGAAGTGGTGATGGAGGTAAATAATGATATATTAGTGGTGTTTGAAGCCATATGTTGTGACCATCTATGTCTCCTTCAACATGCAATTAAGCTAGCTTTCTCTCTCTTGCATGTTACACAACATTTATGACGAAGTAAAAATTTTCAATAACTTATATAGGACAATTTGGAACAAGTAATATCGAGTTTTGAGTGATCTAAATAGTACAATTTTGTAATTAATGAAAGATGTGTGTTTATATATATGTACTGAATATGACCCCAATGTATAAATGGCTGTAGAGATTGTATGAAAAGTAGTGGCATGCTTCCAGTGCTTGTTGTCGGACATGTACACACAAATTTCGTATCTGCAAATTAAAGAATGAAATATGGGGCAAATAATAATTTATTGATTTATGAAAATTCGAGTATAATCCTCTGAGGTATTCTTTACAAAAGAAAGAAAGTATCATCTGATTCGATCTCCTTTGTTGGTTGGATCCAAGGGCTGTTGGAGCTTGATCTTGAATCGGGTTGTTGACAATCTTCTTCAAGTATTTGTAGTTGTGGAAGATCGCCGATAATTTCTGATCGAGGGTTGACGAAGCTTGATCTCGAACAGTGTTTAGTGATTCTTCAAACTTGTTAAATCACGGAGAAAAGAACGGCACGATTTTGATGTGCTTGTTTTTCTTTGTTGAATTTGAGGAAGAACGGCACGACTTTGGATGTGCTTGTTGTTCTTCGTCTTCAAATAATTTGTTGAATTTATGGAAGAACGACATGATTTTGGATGTGCTTGTTGCTCTTCTTCTTCAAGGATTGGGTGTTGGGGATGAATGTCGGTAGAGCTTCTGTTTTTTTACTCTTGAATTATGGACTTCCGAGTCTCTGAATTTCTGTACACCTTCTTCCTTCCTCCATGCCTTTATTTATAGACTTCTTAGATGAATAGGATGATGACGTGTGCCCTTTCTTGATAAGGACACAATTATAACTGGCCTGGGCCGGTTATATTGTGATAATTATCCATTAAAATAATTATTCCTAAATATATTTAATTGAAAATAATTATATTTTTATTTAATTAACTGGGCTGGGCTAATTAAATAATTTAAGTTGACCAAGTTTGGGCCAATTAAATAATTTAATTAAATATGAGACCCATATTTGATGGACCAATTTGTCAAAACAAAAGCCCATGAAATTTTAGTGTCTACAGGACAAATTCGAATGGGCTGTGGGGTTTCAATTTGGGTGGATTGGTGGTGGAGGACGATGATTTGGATTGGCGGCGAAGGAGGAGAATTGCTCAATTAGGAGTGCAATGGTGACAGTAGTGCCTAAGCTGATGATGGCAATGAGAACCGCTGGGTCAGTTTGGTAAATATGGAGGGTGAGTAGAGGGGGTGGTGGGTTCTGTTCATTTTAGGTCTGTCCAAATGGGTCGCTGCAGCCTGCAGTGATGGTGAAAAAAGGATTGAAAAGAGAGAGAGAGAGATGATGGTGGTTGTGCGTGTCGCGCTGACGGCGGCGGCGGCGGCGGCAGCAGCAATGGTGGTTGTGGCAATGGCCGTATGTGTCGGTAGTGGTGGCATTGAGGAAGAGGAGAGAGAACCACAGATGGAGGAGACGGGGGTGTAGAGAGTTTAAGAGGGTAAATTGGTCATTTTTTGCTACATTTCTTAAATAACCAGTATGGTAGTAAATTATAAAATTCAGTCAGTAGTTTGATAAATGCACAATGGATTTTTAACTTGTTAACGGTTCCCAACTCGGAGGGGGTGTCAAAGTGATCTTTCAAAAACTTAAATCTGATGGTAAATTTGAAAAAACTGGGGGGGTGGGGGAGGAGCACCAAATGTGGGAGGTGAAAGCTGTGGACACAATAATAAGTTGTTATTTGCAGCTGGCATTGAGTTTTTCTGTCATCTCCACTGGATAATTTAAAGTGTTCTTGCAATACTATATTCAAGTACTTTCTTTATTGTTTTTTATTTTTTATTTTTTATTTAGATGTATTCCTGTCTAATAGTTTAGATTCTTGTGTGCATACTTCTATATTGAATTTCATCAGCATTATAGTTTTAGATAATTTGCAGTGTTTTTGCTTATTGATTCTTCAAATTGTCTTTGTATAGCCTGCTACACTTGCAGCCAACGTAAAAGCTGTATTCACTTGCCTGCTTGACCAAGTAAGTTGGCTGACCTAATTTCCATAGTCTGAGTTTTTAACTGTATATTGTGGCATTGATTTTATCTATGTCATGGGCACATAATTCTTTTTTTCTTCTCGCCTTCCCTTTCCTTTGTCCTTCTGCAGGTTGGTCAATACATAACAGAAGGACTCGAGCGAGCTAGAGACAGCCTGACTGAAGCTGCAGCTTTGAGGGAAAAGTTTGTGCTGGGGTCAAACCTTACTAGGAGGGTGGCTGCTGCAGCTGCTTCTGCTGTAATTACTTGATCAATCCTTTTTCTTTTTTTATTTTCTTTTGGTCCATGCATTCGGAATAGTCTTTTGTCTGTACTATATAAATTCACTAAAATAAGTTCTTTTTTAAAATTTGAGAATAGTTTGAGTTATGATAGATGGTTTGGTCATGCGTAGGCAGAAGCTGCTGCTGCTGCTGGTGAAAGCAGTTTTAGATCATTTATGGTGGCTGTACAACGTTGCGGAAGCAGTGTGGCTATTGTTCAGCAAGTATGATTTTGTTACCAAAGCTTGTGGGAGAATGTTCCGATTCTTCTTTGTAATAAAAATTGATTTGAACTTTTCTTCTGCAGTATTTTGCAAATTCTATATCTCGGCTTTTACTACCTGTTGATGGTGCACATGCTGCTTCCTGTGAAGAAATGGCAACAGCTATGTCCAGTGCAGAGGGTGCTGCTCACAAAGGGCTTCAACAATGCATTGAAACTGTTATTGCTGAGGTTTGTGATTTAATGAATTTGCCTAAAAAATATTTAGGTGTATGGCACATGCTCTTAATAAAGCCAATTTTTTAAGTGTCAGCTGTATGTTATGGTGGTTACTTCTAATATGGTAGTTTGTATTTTTGCTATTCTGCTGATGTTTGGATTTGTCTTTATTGTGATGATCAAATATTCTTTTTGACTCGAGGTCCTCCATGTATGCTTGAGGTATATTGTTGTTCATCCTCATGCTAGATATTCAAATATATTTTCTTATGGAACTTGTGCAGGTAGAGCGATTGCTGTTAGCTGAACAGAAGGTAACAGATTATCGGTCACCTGATGATGGTATTGCTCCTGATCATCGCCCAACAAATGCTTGTACAAGGTATATCTGAGTATACAAAGTCTGAACTTGTACTTGAATTAATATAAGTCAATTTGTGAGTGTTCTATTCCAAAACTGCATGGATGCGTAGTCAACCCGTGATGTTTCACGGACCATCTGATGTGAATCAGTATTATTCTCATGGCATTTGAATTGTAACTGCTACTTTTTTCATAACACTGACAAGATGCAGTCATTTCTTCATTTCCAGGACCTTATGTTTTTTTACCTCTCATCATTTTTCTGGTTGGCTTATTACTCCACTCTTCATGACAGATCTGCCCCTTATTTGATATGTTGTTTCCATTACCAATTAACCTCTCTCTTCGCTTGGCCAGAGTTGTAGCATACCTTTCTCGTGTGCTTGAATCGGCATTCACTGCACTAGAAGGTCTTAACAAGCAAGCTTTCCTTGCTGAATTGGTACAATGTTTTTTCTCTCTGTTATCTTTTATTACACATAAGTCTATTCTATGTTACTCTCCAACTTTTTCTGCCTTATTCGGATAGCATGTGTGCGTATTTCGTATGCAGAAGTCCGTAAGTTTGAATGATGTTTGAATGTCTTATCTTTCATGATCTTGCATAGATGATATTGTCACTGCTAATTGATACAATTTTCTTTCTTCTGGTTATGATCGCATCTATGCAAATAGGTTTCTGCATGCATTTGTCATTAATCGAATAAACATGTGTTGCACATGCTAATCCATAAGCATACATTAATGCATTGTTTGTTTTTTTGTCTAATGATTGATAAAACAGGACGACCATTAAAAAACAAAAAACAAAAAAATTGACAAAATACATGAAGCCACCAAACTATGGTCATAATATAGTATAATTGAAAGATCCTGTTCAGTTAAACAGCGACAAATAGCTTGAATTAATAGACACCTACCTTTCCTACATTTCTGAGTCTCTGTTTGCAATGGTTTTGATTTGGAAATTCATCTTCTGTTATATTTTTCGGCAAATTTTCCTTTTGTGTTCACTTTTAACATGGTGAATCTGTCGATAGGGTAACCGCTTGTACAAAGGGCTGCTAAATCATTGGCAGAAGTTCACTTTTAACACCAGGTAAAGCCTCGCTCTTATCTTTCATAGTTTATTATTATTATTATTGTTGTTGTTGTTAGGGTAAAGTGCAAGAAAACCCCCTTCAACTATGGCCCTAGTTCAACTAACCCCCCCGAACTACAATAAACCCCCCTAAACTAATGATTTGGTGCAGGTAACTACAATCTGGTCAATTGCTGTTATCGGAATTGTTAAAAGACTATTTTACCCACGATCAAGACGCCACCGTTTCACTCAGCAACTCCAGTGAAAAAAAAAATCTCAACAACCGGTTATATGCCGACACCTCACCCAATTTAATATAAAGAGAAACTGTGATATTTGAATATTCAATTATTCGTATATAAGCCATATGTGTGTGCGTGTGTGTATATATATAGATATCGGGTGAAATATAAGGGTCAACCGACACGAAGGAATTTCTCTCTACCACTCTCTTTCTCTCTGTGATTCTCAATGGATCTCTACCACCTCCAATGACGGTGAAGCAGCAGCGACAACCAACAGATCCCACGAAGGCAAAGATTTGGCGAGGAATATGATGGTGACAGATTTTGATGGCGGCAGTAGGAATCAGTCCAGTGGCGACAACGGCGAAAGGCTTAACCAACGAAGATAAAGGCCTGATAATCGGCAATGGCGATGGCTGTGAGAATGCTGTGATGGTGTTTTGACAGCGAGACCCGCCGACGTGGCTTTTGTAGTGGCAGTGGTTTCAATTAAAGCTTTGTTATATGAGTTTGGTGATGATGGGTGACAAACATATTGATGGAGTTTTGCGATTGGGTTTTGCTTGGTGATTGGTGACAAAAAGATTTCATGGAGAATTGCAATTGGGTTTTGCGTTGTGATTGGTGACAAAAAATTTCTTTGCAATTGTAGTGGCAGTGGTTCTTTGCAATTGGGTTTACCTGACAAAAATTTTCATGGGATTTTGCGATTGGGTCTTGGGACTAGATTTTGGGGTCTTGTGGTTGGGTTGCCGACAATCGTGATCCATGGCTTGTATCGGAGAGAGATGACAGAGCGATATTTTGTTGAATGACTGAATGATACACTATATATATATATAGGAAGAGAGATGGGAAATGCAATGGCTTAGTCCGCAGTTCCCCATCTCTGTCCATTGATTGTGTACGAACAAAATACGAGTCCACACTCGCAGAGAGAGAGAGAGAATTGGAAGGTTCAGTCTGATCGAGCAAGATGGATTTGGAAAAGAGAAATAGGGCATGTTTGGTTGGGGTTTGGGTTTAATGGAAATAAGAGGGGTATTATGGTCTTTAAGCTTTTGTAAGGGTTGTATGGACATTTAGTTAAAATTGGTTTGTCAGGTGATAGGCATGGGAGATTCCGACTGCCGGAATGGGCAATTTGCACCTAAAGTTGATATTTCAGGGGTTTTTTCTGCCACTTTTGTAGTTTAGGGGGGTTATTTGCCATATGGGTCATAGTTGAAGGGTTTTTTTGGCACTTTACCCTATTATTATGTTAATGTATGCTTACAGATAAGGGGAAAAAAGAAAAAAAGGGTTGCATGCCTATTGACTTGCCAAAATTATGTCTGCATATTGATTATTGTTGTTCTAGTTTCCCTACGACAGAGAAGTGATCTCCATATTGAGGAAGTGCATCTGTAAATGTTGGTATTAAAGAAAAAGAAAGGAAAAATTTTGAAACCTCCTTTTTTTTTTTTTTTGCAAAACTAGATAAAAAAATAATTATAATTGCTGTTGTATGCAATAAGGAAATTTGGCATCAGAAGTGACTCGTGTGTTTTTCCATATAACTTAAAATGGTGATTAATTTGGACAATGACAGTTTTTTTTGGTTTCCCCATGAGTTCTATTTTTCTCGTTAGTTTGGAAAGTATCAAACATTGATCAATTTATTATTACTTTGGAGGCAATTATTACAGTCCCTTGTTATCAATCTTTCTCTTGCTCACTCCCTCTCATATTCACATGCACCAGTCATTTCTGATGCATTCTCCATGTTATTAGTCTTTTTTCTACATGTTTGTTTGTTAACGCACCTAACATCGAAGTTTGATGTCCCCTCCCAAGGTTTGTCCTTAGCTAAAGTTGAGTTAGAAACATTTACTTGGAGAGATTGTTGGAAAGAAACCACTGTATTACATAAATCCCTACTGATATTAACTCTTCTTGATCCCATTAGTCTGAGTTTCTCCTGCTGGAAGAGCTAGAGGCTGAGCTAGAACTTCTTTGTTGTATGAACTTTTCAATCACATGGATTTTGACATGGTGAACGAAAGAAGGTATTCGATCACTCCCTAGCTCCCTCTGTCCCAAAATACTTTTCCCTTTTAGGGATTTCAACTTTGAAAGGGACATGCATTTAATGCACGTCTCTCTTTGAAATTCTAAATTTAACCTTCAAAACATAAAAGATTTTACATTGTTATTTTTTGGGGAAGTTTTCAAAATCTAAGGATAATTTGGATAGCTGAAACCTTTTCATTGATTGTTCAAAAGAGGACATGTACTATTGGACATTCCAAAATATAAAGAGGGTTTGAAGATTACTAAAGGGGACATTTACTATTGGAAATCCCAAAATATAAAGAGGGTCTGAAGATTATTAAAGTGGACATTTACTATTTTGGACAACCCAAAATGAAGGAGGGTTTGAAGATTATCTTTGGTGTGAGCATTGCTTGACAAAAGTCAGGTTTTCTGCCAACCTATTTTTACTTATAAATGACTTTTCTCAGAAATATTATCATCATCAAATGTGCAGCAATTATTGTTCAATGTGTGTGCGTGCATAAAAAAGTATATTTATCCACCCTATTTTGATTTGGTTCTGCTGAGCACATTTGCATTTTTGTTACTTTTCTTTGCTGGTGTAAGCAGTTCTAATTCTAGTTCTGACTAATCTCGAAAGCAACAACAATTAGGCTGTATTTGTAGTATGAGAAAAATGATCCTATAATGGTTTCAAATTATTGTCAGTTTGTCACTATTGTCTTTGTTGTGGAGTCAAATGGTATGGCCTTCCTTAAATGAATTAATGTTTGGTCAATAGGACTTAAGTTGGTAAATTTAGTACAAAACAGAGTCTGTATTTTCAATTTCAAGTTGGTGTTTCTAAAAGTTGTTGATTGAGTTAGGTGTTACAACAATCCAAGTACTTTATGGAGATTCCAAAGATTCAGCAAGGTAAGAAAGTAATTTCCGCACTCAAGGATTCGCCCACCAAAATAGGATTTCTAATCTTACATTGACGTTAATGTATCCTTAAAATTGTGTTCTGAATGCATCAAAGTATTTTAATTTGAAAAATCTAAGTAAAGGGGCAATGATCAATTGAAGACATCGATTGACCCTCACTGGTGTAGGTTGTATCAATCGAAGTTCAGTCGGATTGGTCAAACTCTGCAGATGGCACAATGGCAGTTTTCAATTTGATTTCAAACACTTAAAACCCTAGTTCTTTTTGGCTTTGCAATTCCCTAAGTTTGTGTAAACATAGAGGCATATAGAGGCCACATAGAGCATCCAAAGCATATTGAGATTTGAGAGCATAGGCAATTGATTGCATATTGTTTTCTTTTATTCATCATCATTGCATACGGGTGGTGAGTGTTTGTTGGAGTGTTGATTATCTACAATCAAAGTGCTTCAAAGAGATCAACACCAAAATTCCACTCTAAACAGAACTTTTTTGGACAATTAGTGGAGATCAAAAATAAAAGTTAATGACCGAATTTTGTGAGTAGCGAATTCATAGATTGTTGGCAGCAGATCCAAAGAACATCTGACGTGAGTCTGAGTTTGAAGCAACTAGGTATTTTTTGGGTTTTAGAAACTGATACCTAAATTGTGAATGAATGTCTTTTCATTGATCTGCATGAACTAGCTCTTGTGGTTTTTACCCTATGTCTTTTTTTTTTTTTTTTTAATTATTATTATTTTTTATTTGACGTAATATCAGTGTTTTCATGTAAATTTCCATTTGCTTTATATGTTTTTGCACAATGCTGATTATTGCTGTGGTTTATGATTTTTAGTTAAGATTTTAATTTCAATTGAAACTAGTTACGTAAAATTTAAATTTCTGTTTTAAGTCATCAATAAAATTTCAAGACCCATTCATTCCCCCTCGCTTGTCTAAGGGCAGTTTGGGGTTTAGCGTACTTTGACGTATCAGAGCTTAGTCTCTTACAAAGAGTTATTAGTGTTGTAGGGATAGGTAAGAGCAGATTCGATCCCATTATGGGTAAAATTTCTAGTAAAAATTACTATTGAGTCCCTACTTTTCTCATTAAAAGACAAATAAGTCCTACTTTTGAAAAATAAGTCCTATGTATTCCTTTTAGTTTTTATTAATTAATGGATATTGCATTATGAGTTTAAATAATAATTAATTTAAATGAAACTCAATTAAGAATCTTATTATATATTTTTTTTAAAAAGAATTGTAAAGTTTTTTTCTTTTCTTTTTATTTAAATGTTATATCTAATATTATAAAGTTATAAATGGATGATTTGAGCCCAAATTTTATATCTAATTTAGCAAGGGTGTAAATGAAATATTTAGCAATTTAAAACTTAAATAGAAAAAGTTTCAAAAGTATGACTTATTTGTCTTTTAATGGATAAAGTAAAACTTGGTTGTAATTTTTACAAATTTGTATCATTGCCATCTATCATTGAGCTTCTTTTTGCATTATTTTTTTTTTTCGCCGGAAGTTTCTTTTTACATCATATTTTATCTTCAAAACAATTAGATTGAATTGACTGCTGTTATAATTCTGAATTTTAACCAGTCAACTTATTTGCTGTTGTTGTTCTCACCATTTTGCTTCACTTAATTGGCCGTTGATTTTGTTTATAGTGGAGGGCTGAGGCTGAAGCGTGACATAACCGAGTATGGTGAATTTGTGCGTCGTTTTAATGCTCCTTCTGTGGATGAGAAATTTGAATTGTTGGGCATGTAAGTTGTAGGGGTTTGTTAGATCTCAGGCTTTTCATTTATCACTCTATTATTATTTACTGATTTAATTTTGCCTCCAGCATGGCCAATGTCTTTATCGTTGCTCCTGAAAGTCTCTCCACCCTATTTGAGGGTACCCCAAGTATTCGGAAAGATGCACAGAGGTAAATGTAATATTGGCGATTTTTTATATATTAAAACCCAAAATGAGTAGCACTGACTGCAGAATTTTTGTAGAACATAATGACTTCATTTCTATGGCACAGTTTTTCCACTAATTAAAATGCATTAAAGAAAATCTCTCACTATTACTTATATCAACTGTTAATTTGTGAACAATACAACTTTAGGAAAAATCATGGGTTGATTTACTCGCGTTCAACTACAATTATAGTCCATAGCTGAATGCTTCAGGAAGGAATCACATACTGCAGTTAGGGTTTTTAGGTACATAACTTGTATCAGTAATGTGTTAGGGGGAAGAAAAAGAAAGACAATGACATCACACCTTTAATGTCTATAAATTATCTATTCTTTTCTTAGTTGGCGACTGTCTCCTCCTGTACCCATATTCCCTTTATGAGATGGTAAACTTTTGAATTGACTGCAAATTCAGGTTTATCCAGCTTAGAGAGGACTACAAGAGTGCAAAGCTTGCAGCCAAACTTAGCTCCTTGTGGGCTAGCTCTAGTTAGTGCAGTGGCATGATGAAGTTAAGTTCACACTCCACGTTACTTCGACTGTTTATGTCAAGGCGTCGTGCTGGTGAAGGAGTTGCTATCTCAATTTTGATGGCTTTTCAATCATAATAGACCAAGTTGGGAACAGATTGGTGGATAACAGAACTGTGAGGTTAAGGAGCTCATTCTTGAACAGGATCGGTATATTCGCCATTGCATTCTAGTTTTTCCTTCTTGTTGTTGTAAATCAATCATTTTAGGAATGATTAACGACTTTTTGGTGTAATTGTTGTGAGTGCGGCTTGAGTCAAAACAGTTATAGTGAAGTGGTTCATGATCAGGTATTAAACCTTTGTAAAAATCATTTTAGGAAGGATTCATGTTCAGGTGTTAGTTTTGGAATGCTTAATGACTTGAATGGCAGTGTGGAGAATGGATTCTTTTGTTTGGTAAGCAAATTAAATTTCATTAGAATGGTCATTCACACAAAAAGCTTGACCATTTTTTTTGTTTGGATCTAAAGAATGTCAATTCTATTCTAACTCATCTTGACTTAAAGAATGACCATCCTACTCTTAACATAAAATTTAAGGAAAAATAGGATACAAGAAGAACGTTTGATAGTTGGCCTTTCATGCCACATGCTTTCTGCTCTCACAACTGAGAACATGTTGCCTGTGATTTGATGTATTTATTTCTCCAGGAACCAGTAGGTATTGCTGAGCATCAAGAACTTCAACAAGCCCTTCATTCCTGTACCCCAGCTCATGTTAACCAGTAATTTGCTCCTTCCAATGCCTGTGATTTAGTAATGTGAAGGATTTAGATCTTCAAGATCATTGCGAGGGTTCTCTGTCAAGAAAGTTGCTCCATAAGAAACATCAGGTTCGGATATACTCGTGTACTAGCTCCATCCCTAGAATATTTCCCACAACAATCCGGAATCAAAAAGACGATACTAGTTCTTCAATCCACCTTGTGGTGAAGTAGAACAATAAACTAAAATATAAGAAAAACAAAAAAAGGATTATAACTGATGTCTAAAAGGTGATTTTTGTTGTTCCAGTCAAAATAGTATTTAAGGTGCATAAAACATCCTAAAAACCTAATGGCTTCTGAGTTTGCAGCTACGCGAGCCCACAAATATAAAAGTGGATGTAGGGTTAGTTACCTATGGAGGGGATCTATGGAGTATGGACGACTCCTGTATTTGCTAATGCAACATACTATATTGATATCTTAAAAAATAATAATATAACTTACTGGTTGTATAAGCCTTGTATTATTATTGCAAAAGCAATATAAAAACAAATGACCATATGATAGGCCACGAATGCAATGGCACAGTAAAGCATTCGGTTTCGTGGAATCAAAGGTTGGAGAGTCTTGTAACTAGTCAAAGAATGAGTCTAAGAGCATCCGCACCGAAGGCCCTTTCCGCGAGCCAAACAGACCAAGGTCACTCCAACAGCCTCGCTGAACTGAGCGGGGCCCACAGCAGCTCGCGAAATACCGTGAGCCCAGGCCTCATCGTGGAATATATTTTTTTGTCTTTTCTCTTAGCAAAACGACGTTGTTTTGCCTGAAGCGTTTTTTTTTTTTTTTTTTTTTCCTTCAGGCTGCCAAACAGTGCCTAGTTTTTCCTTAAGGCACTGTTTGGCAGCCTAGTTTTTTTGGAAAAACCCAAAATATGTTATTTTGAGCTCATTTTTTAAAAAAAATAAATAAATAAAATTCAGTAAATAAAAAATATATTGTTTAGGCACTGTTTGTCTCAAAAAAATATATATTTTTGTGCCAAAAATAAATTAAAAAACCTTTTTTTTTCCCCCTTAAAATTTGATTTTTTTAAAATTTTCTTTGCTTTAATTTTAAATTACGGCCATAAACAGTGCATTTGGCCATTAAGGCACTGTTTGGCTAACACAAACAGTGCCTTAAAGGCTATAATTTTTTAAATTTTTTTTTAAGAAAATTAATTTTGTAAAACTTTAAAAGAAAAAAATTAAAATTAAAATTTCATTTTCTTATTTCTGTAGGATTTTGTAATTCTTATCCTAATTCATTATTTTTAATCTTAAAATTTAATTTAATTTAATTTTTTTAAAAAAAATTTTTTGGAGAGCAAAAATTTGAAGAGCCTGATGAAATGCATATTTTTGGAAAGCGAAAATTACTAACTTAACTTTTGAAATTATTGACGTGACTTTTGAAAAAACTAAAGTGGCATTTTTAAAGAGTCAAAATCTGGAAAGGTTGGTCCAATGGACTGTATAGGAGGGATTTTTGCCGGCTAGTAGTCGGTATTGCTAAGATTTGTAATGGTGTAAGTGGCAAAACCCCTCTGTGGAGGGAAAAAAACTCCCTCCAATAAAAAGCGCACACTTCACCACTACCCATATCTACATTCCAAGGACATATAAGGCCCATCATGCTCAAGCCCAAATTGAGGGTATTTACAGCCCAAGACCATTGTTATTTGTCCTCCAACCTCTATCAAGGCCGAATCAAGAAGTCATCAGCCCAGCTTGTTAATATTTAACATCCGGCCAGCCGGATCAAAATATGTTCAGCCCAGCTATTCAAGAATGCACAAGTCCTACCAGTTGAAGGATTTACTGTAGAAGGAAAATTCTGAGATAGGAAGTTCTGTACAAGGCAAGTTCTATGTATGGAAAATTCGACAATGGAAAGAACTCTATTAGTAAAGAATGTTTATATAAAAAGAATTGGAAGGCAAGCAACGCGAGTCCTACCATAATTTTGCAATCTTTTGTATATAAATAGAGGCTAAGACCTCCAATAAAGGGATCAAGCAATTCTACGCTTCTCTATGCACTGTTCTTATTTATTCTTATTGTTTTTTCAAAGTGTGTTGTTTTATTTTTCTCAATCATTATTGGTTGAGCGAAATTTTGCACCTACACTTTGGCGCCGTCTATGGGAACGTATAAAAATATACTCCCACTTGTTCTTCAAATCAAATCCTTAGTCGTATCTGGAATGTCAAACGGAGAGTCAGCAATGAATCAACAGATAGAATTGGTGCAAAAGATGCGAGAGGAGTTCTTGCACCAATTTGAGACACTCCGGCAAGCAAACGATACGAGTGTCGCCCAGATAGCTGCGCTTCAGCAGCAGACTCATGCGCTGCACACGGCCATGGCCAAGCTAACGCCACAACCACCACCAGGCGATGCTGCAGCACCACCCCCCACCCAGAATTTACCTCCAGTTCACGAGCCTCCAGCCAACAAGACACCACCCAACGGGGCTCGACCTAATGAGGTTCAGCAAAAGCAAGGGATGAGGTCCGAGGCGGTTGCTTCAGATAATCTCCCGCGTCACACACAGGACGAACAGGCCGAGTCCAGCCATAGGCTTACGGTATGGTCCAATGGCGTTCCAGATGGCGCACGCGTACAAGATGCCTTCGACGAAAAAAAGCTCTTAAGAGTTCAGACACCAGCCGAGATGGATAGAGAGCACAAAAGCTCCTTGATCAAGACCCCCTTTACGGACGAGGTGTACCTTGTGGAGAGACCAAAGAAGTTCACTATGCCATCCTTCACCCAATTCGATGGGGCAGGAGACCCCTCTCGGCATCTCGATCATTATGCGCAAAAGATAGTACTGGACGATCATAACGATCCGTAGATGTGTAAGGTTTTTCCTACCAGTTTAACTGGAGCAGCGTTAGAATGGTTCAGGAATAGGCCACACAAGTCTATCCCTGATTATGAGACCTTGTGCACTATGTTCTTAGCCCAGTATTGCGGAAATAAGAAGCAGAAGAAAAGTATCGCCAGCCTTGTCACCATAAGGCAAAGGAAGGGAGAAACTCTGCAAGATTTTTTATCCAGGTTTAACATGGAGGCCTCGGAGATAGCAGATTGCCACCCTGCCACGGCAATCGAAACATTTAAGTTGGCAATGATCCAGGGAACCAAGTTTCACACATCCTTGGTCAAATATTCCCCCCCGGATATGCAGACTTTGAACGCTAGGGCACAAATCTACATTCGGTTGGAGGAAAACGTAGCCCACCGTGCATAGCACGCAACCCTCGTCACAGTGGAAAACAAGTCTCGAGAGAAAACTGCGAGCATAAGGATGCAGAAGGTTCCTCATACCGCCACACAAGTCACCTAAGCGTCTGAGAAAAGGCGAAGGACAGAGGACAGGCTTACCCCTCTCCGTACTACCTTGGCGCGCCTATTCCAAGAGAATAAGACGAGGTTCGCAACTCCTCGGCCCATGAAACAACCCTTGGAGCAGAGGGACAAAAGCAAACATTGTGCCTACCATAGAGACTATGGGCATACCACCAATGACTGCAGGTCACTTCAGCGACAGGTAGAAAGCATGATAGCGAGAGGAGAGTTGGTGGAGTATCTCGCCACGAAGGAGCACGTAAAACCTCGGGAGGTTAACCCTCGACGGGTAGAGGGCGGTCAGGTAAAGGTTATCCATGCTATACACGGAAGGTCAGAGGATGATGAAGAGTCTGAAGAGTTGTACAGATCCAGGCTGAGAGAGGCTCATAAGTTACGAAGATTGTCTTCGGTGAACACAGTTGCACCAGGCAGCATCAACATTGGATTCGGTAACAATGACCTTTCTAGAGTCCAGCGCCCGCATGAGGACCCCTTGGTCATCAGCCTCCTGGTAGCGAATTATATGATCAGGAGAGTGCTGATAGATCCGGGAAGTAGCGCCAACATCATTACAAAAGCAAACATTGTGCCTACCATAGAGACTATGGGCATACCACCAATGACTGCAGGTCACTTCAACGACAGGTAGAAAGCATGATAGCGAGAGGAGAGTTGGTGGAGTATCTCGCCACGAAGGAGCACGTAAAACCTCGGGAGGTTAACCCTCGACGGGTAGAGGGCGGTCAGGTAAAGGTTATCCATGCTATACACGGAAGGTCAGAGGATGATGAAGAGTCTGAAGAGTTGTACAGATCCAGGCTGAGAGAGGCTCATAAGTTACGAAGATTGTCTTCGGTGAACACAGTTGCACCAGGCAGCATCAACATTGGATTCGGTAACAATGACCTTTCTAGAGTCCAGCGCCCGCATGAGGACCCCTTGGTCATCAGCCTCCTGGTAGCGAATTATATGATCAGGAGAGTGCTGATAGATCCGGGAAGTAGCGCCAACATCATTACAAAAACAGCTTTTGATCAGTTGGGGGTTTCACCATCGTCCATCAGGCCAACTTCCAGCCCCCTAATGGGATTTGATGGTACTAAGGTATATCCGCTTGGGGTGATCGATCTTTCCGTTACTGCAGCAAAGAGGACTCTGAAGGAGAACTTTGTCGTGACGGAGATTCATCCGTCTTATAACCTTATTATGGGGAGAGGTTAGATCCATCGAATGAACGGAGTCCCCTCTACCCTTCATCAAGTAATGAGGTGTTTATCCCCAGATGGCAGGGAAGTCATCGACCTCTGGGGAGACCAGGTGGCTGCAAAAGAATGTTACATGCTAACGCTATATGAAGCAAAAAAGGCG